TAATATCGTTCTTATTATCGCCGTTTAATTATTAGGAGGTACGGTGCATGCGTTGAGAGTATTTGACTCCTACGTGATAAGCCACTTCACTGAGCTATCATTTGTGGCCAGGTCGCTTCTGAAAAAGAAATATTTATCTCAGTGGGCCTTACCTGGTAAAATAAAAAAAAATGGTTTAGTATGTGGCCCAGGACCAAAATTGCAACGGCGCCAAATGCCCTCGAAACATGTTACCCTCACAAAACACCCAATAACTGTCGTACCCAAACCTGGCAGTGGTGTCACCCTACGGAGTGATTGGGCCCCCCGTCATAGCATTATGGAATTTCCAGTGCTGTGCTCGGGATCGTTTTAATGGTTGAGACTCGTTGGGTCCGATTTGATATCTTGATGAGACCTGCTTGCTTATGGATCATGGAATTCAAGGATGTAACTTCTAACAAAAAAAACAGTGGCATAAACGTGCAGCCATTTTGTCAATCCACTGCTGGATGAGAAGCCTTCTGCCAACGTCGTGCGAGTCCCGGGGGCCAGTGTGGGTTAGTGAAGGTGGGGGAGATAGACGTTGGAGCAAAGTACAGTACAACACTATGAGACATCTCCTTTACCAGTGGCAAAATATAGTAATAGGTTTTTACCCTTTCAACTGGTACAAAAACTGACACCTTTGTACAAGGCATCATGTTTGCAATAACCACAACACAAGCAGTCAAAATGCAAACAAAAAGAAAAAACTCTGATAATGATATGCACTGTCCTTGAAGTTGATTTTTCCACACCCGAGATAGCTTTTCTTAGAGCCTCGTCTCCATTGGTGTTGGACGCCAAAAGGCGTCATATGGTCCAACACCAATAGTCCAACCCCAATGGAGACTAGGCTCTAATAAAAGCTGTCTCGGGTGTGGACCAATCAACTTCAAGGACAGTGCATATCATTATCAGAGTTGTTTCTTTTTGTTTGCATTTTGACTGCTTGTGTTGTGGTTATTGCAAACATGATGCCTTGTATAAAGGTGTCAGTTTTTGTACCAGTTGAAAGGGTAAAAACCTATTACTACAGTACAATAATCACGTGTTTTTTTAATGCACGGCTCTCTGCTGACAACGTAGCCCCACATGGATCTCTTGTTCGAAACAAATTTGTGAAGTTTAATTTTTTTCAGATGATTCCTGAAAACATGATCTGTTATGACACTTTACTCAGACAATAACCTTTTAATGACCTATTTGAACCTATTTAAAAAAGACACGTTCATAATTCATCACATGTTTACAGGCCAAGGCAGGCCTCGCATCCTTGCAAAGAGCAACCCTTGCCGACCTTAACACCTCCTGTGTCTGATAGTTGCAATGATCATACTCTCCGGATTACAGGAGGAACGGTATTATGTTTTAAATATTCCTGGTTATAATTGTAAGTTATTGGGGGTGTATTTGCGTGCACACTACACGGGTTGGTTTCCTTAAAATTGTAAAGGTTTACAGGAGGGATCTGCAAAATTACAGTTGATTCTCTCGGGTTTTGCCCGGTGCGGGATTAACCGTGGCACGTTCTCCTTGCTGTTGTCTTCTGGCACGAGCGCGAGTTTTAATATCAGATCCTCCTCCTGTCTCGTCAGAGACTGTGCCCACGTGACACACTGCGCGTCACATTCGATGTCTTCAACTGTGGAGGAATACGCTTTGCTTGACGCTTTTTATTTTATTTTACTTTTATTCGAGCCCTATACCCACCTCCCAATTACCCGATTCCCCCAATCGCCCAGGATAATTGGGAGAGTATACTTTTTTGATAAAGTTGGTTTAAAACTAATCTCAGAAACTGGGTTTAAAAAATAATTATCCCGACCTGCTTTTTAAAAGAAGTTTTCTCTCGACAAAAATATATGATGTTATTACGACTACTACTGCGTGTTACCGTATCCGTGTAATGTTTAAAGTTTAAAGCCATGAAGATTGTGAATGTAAAAATGACTCGAGATGAATGTTGGGCCGGCGAATTTTGATTGTTCATTTGCAATAGTACCCGGGTGTTTTTTTTATTTTATTAAAGCCGTGTTTGATTTTCTTTTTTACCACTGGTGCACAGTTGTACTTTTTATTTAATAAAAAAATTCGAAATATTTAAAGGCATACAAATGTGGTGTCCATTGTTGACTGTTTGGGTGCGATGTACAGTGTGTATGCACTATCACTAAGGTTGAGTGGACCTAGGGAAAGGACAGACCTCGACAAACGCACTTCTACAATACATGCCAGTCACGGTGACAGACACCAGGGCACGAACTCCCACCCGGCCAGGTACGCAGTCTCACTTGCTTAGCAGCTTCCGGCCTGATAATTGTTTTTTTACCCTTTAATCTGGCAACAAAACTGACACCTTTTTTACGAGGAGTCATGTTTGCATTGACCACAATACCTGCAGTCATAATGCAAAAAAAAACACAACTCTGATCATGTATGCACTGTCCTTGAAGTTGATTGGTCCACACCCGAGACAGCTTTCCTTAGAGCCTAGTCTCACATGGGTTGGACCAGATGACGCCAAAAGGCGCACAACTCTTTTGGCGTCATCTGGTCCAACCCATGCAATTCTCGGAACAGCGTTCGGGGACTGTTCCGGCTGAAATTAAGATGAAGAACTGGAAAGCCGGTTGTGTTTAGTTCGACATTAGCCATTGGACAGGATACAAAGAGCGACCGCACCCGTGAGTGTTAACATCTCGAATAAGCAGGTGAGGGCTCATTGAGACTACCCTTGTCCGTTTTCATTGGAGGACCCTGGAGTGTGTTGGTTGGCCAAATGTTCACTCCCCTCGCCAGGAGGGTGGAGTAGCGATCCCGACCTTGACGCCTGCTGCTGTATATTTGGAGTTTGCGTGTTCTGCCCGTGGTCGCGTGGCTCTTTCTCTGGGTCCTCCGGTTTTTCCCTCCACATTTAGAATCAACACGCATTTAGAATATTTAGCTGCTATACATTTCCATGTGATAAGCCACTTCGTTGAGGTATCATTTGTGGCCAGGTTGCTTCGGAAAAATAGCTGTATAGCTCAGTGGGCCTTACCTAATAAAAAAAATAGTAACTTTTATGTATGCCTATTACGTGCTGACGACCTGAGTTTGATTCCCCAGGCCAAGGCGAACAACATCAGTGGGTGAGTGATCTCTCAACCGATCCCGGGCGCACACCTTCACCAAGCCGCGCTGACACCAGCGTAGCGGAGTTCAAACAACCCCAACCAGCCGTGTGGGTCTTCATCCAGCAGTAGATTTGCAAACGGCGAGGGGAGGGAGGGGGGCATTACGTGTGCAAGTACACCCAGACATACAAAGTATACAGCCGAATACACATTGTTGATTCGTGACAATGGATCAACTATTGGCATTCACCTGATTAAATAAGGATTGTCTCAGTAAATCACTCATTGACGAAGCAACTCAACAGTCACCTGTTCGAATCATCGAATCAACGGACTGACGTAAGTGATGGACGGTGTCTGGGCCCGCACAGACGGCGGCAGTAACGAGGACCCTGGTGACGAAAATCTTGGTGACGATGATCCTGGTGACGGTGATCCTGGTGACGGTGATCCTGGTAACAAAGATCCTGGTGACGAAGATCCTGGTGACGATCCTGGTCAGGATGATCCTGGTGACGATGACCCTGGTGACGATGATTCTGGTGATGATGACCCTGGTGACGATGATTCTGGTGATGATTCTGGTGATGATGACCCTGGTGACGATGATCCTGGTGACGATGACCCTGGGCACGAGGACATTGACGAGGGTCACAACAAGAGACAACGACGACGAAAGTAGCCGCCTCTCGCTCGAGAAAATTCGGAGACTGCAGCTAATCAGCCTGGAACTCCCAACCACCACCACCATCAACCACCACCATCAACCACCACCACTATCAACCACCACCACCATCATCCACCACCACCACCATCATCAACCACCATCAACCACCACCACCATCAACCACCACCACCATCAACCACCACCACCATCAACCACCACCACCATCAACCACCACCATCATCAACCACCACCACCACCATCAACCACCACCACCATCATCCACCACCACCATCATCAACCACCACCACCACCACCATCAACCACCACCATCATCAACCACCACCATCAACCACCACCACCATCATCCACCACCACGACAACGAACTTCTGTCTGTTCTATGGCCTCATTAAGGTGGCATCGAGCAGTTGGGGGGGTGACTTGGTGGGGTGTTGAAGGGAAGCAGGATGGACAATCGTGCCTACAGCCCAATCCACAATCCACCACGTCCTCGTCACATTCTCTCCACCTGCGTACGGATTGACATTGTTGGTACAGTACTGTGCATCCATTGACCCGTAGAGGCGTCGCCGAGTCTCAAGCCCTCTTTTCAGGAGGGTCCTGCTAAGTTTTTGGTAAATACAGTACAACATTTTTGCTAATTAATTTGGCCTAACCCATATTTATTTTAATAACGCCACGGGGTCTTGAAACGTCTGCGGTGAGGTGGAAGGCAGGTAGTATGTACGGATGTATGTATGTATTAGGAGTACGTTGAACTTCTTTCGCACCGTACGTAGCCGACCGTGCTCATGGGAGGTGCTGTTGTTCACACACCGGGGATCAAACAGCGAACCGCTCTGCTAAGAGCTTCGGCTTGGCCACGTCACCGCCGCCAATGCCACCTTACAACAATCCTCGACTCAATCTACATCAGTGGTTCTGAAACCCTTAAGTGCAAGCCTTGCACCCCTTTGGTTCTCAATTGTAACAAAAACAATTACGATGTTAATAAATACACAAGGTTTGATTAAACAAAGTAGTTGTACTTACTTACTGCTTACTTTGTGTTTCGATGATTTATCTTCGAAATAAAATCTGCCCACGTCTCGCACCCCCAGGTTAAGAACCACTGATCGACAGAGTGGTCCAGATGTCTTGTGACACCCCCCCCCCCCACCCCATTGGACTCTATAAAACGTATTATATTTTAAAAGTAAGGTTTATTTAAAACAGAAATTAATACTCAAGGTAGAAACCATCACACTTTACAGGCCTACCTACAAGTCAACACGCAGATCACAAACTACCAGTCGACACGTTCATCTGTAGGCAGGAGGATAATAGAACACGACGTCTGAAACGCTCTTCCTTCCCATACTATGAGGCCACTGGAGCTCTGCAATTTAAAATTGAAATTTAAAACTCATTTCTTTAGAACTGCTATTTGTGTTGAGTTTGTTGTCCTTCCCCCACACCTCCGATTAACACGGTTGGGTACGTACGGTGCGAAAGAAGTTCAACACACGGTACATACAGTATTTCGGGCCGTATCTACGGTTGTCCACCTCACCATAGTCCACTTAAGCTCACGGTGATGTTGGAGGGTTTGGAGCCGATGGTGACCGTGATCTCCTCGCTGTAGTTGAGTCCCAGCCGCGTTTCCCAGAGCACCGCACTGGTACCGCAGCCACAGTCATGCGAAATAATCCCACGGCTTAAACCCCTCGCTAAATATTTTACAGGTCGCTGGTAAGTGGCGCGTGATTATTAGTAGCCCACAAACCGTAGCGAGAGGAGGCATACTGGACGCGGTGTGCCGGGTTGCGCGAAAAAGACGTTTCCCGGGTCACCGAACCGGACTGACGGACATCCCTGCCAATGGCGGAGCCAGGATTTTCAGGTACGGGAGGCAACCCCTCCAGCAATGAAAAATGATAGAGGAGTTGTTAGTAAGTAAGGACTTGTCCCTTGCTTTTTATTCGACGCGTGTGCGGCGATGGCGCAGCCATCGATCGAGGGTCGAATTCGAACCGCGTGGTGTGATCGGCATCGTGCTCGCTGAAGGTGTTGATGCCTTCAGGGAAGTCGTGTACTATCTACGCAACTGCGCACAATTCTGAGTCACTTATAACTGCTTTGCCGTTACTTAATGCCAATTATAGACTCAGACTATTGTCATCTCATAGAGTCCCTGGCAAGTAATAATATGCTACACAGTGGCAGTGGGGGTCGCAAAATGCCTATTTATTACTAATAAACCCCAATGATCCGATCGAAATTAGGGATTTCGAACGCATCATTGGGGGGGCACGTGCCACCCCCCCCCCCCCCCCCCCCCCCACTGGTGATCACTCCCCTCGCTCGAGCCAGGCGTCGATGGCCTCGAGGTTTCCCCGCGGGTCCTCGGCCCAGTCGCGGTACCAGCGCAGGCCCGCGATGGCCTCACGGTAGCGCGGCCCGGCGGCGGCGCGCCACTCGAGGAAGGCGTCGCGGTCGTAGCGGCGCGCGGTGCGCGTCACCGCCGGGTAGTCGATCAGCGAGCGGAGCGCCGCTTCAAGGCGAGAGGTCAGGTGGGGTCGCGACGCCGACAGGTCGAGCAGCTCCTCGGGGTCGGCGACGAGGTCGAAGAGCTGCGGCCGCGTCGCGGAAGAGGAGGGCCCCTCGCCGTAGGCCACGAGCTTCCAGCGCGACACGCGCAGCATATACGCCGACTCGTTGAGGTCGCTGCCGTGGAACTGGCTCAGCGCCCAGCGGTGGCCGCGGGACAGTTTGACGAGGTCACGGCGAGCGGAGGAGGTCGCCTCGTCGTCCTGCTCGTTTTCATCGGCGTCGTTTTGAAGGTTGCAGTTGGTTGCGTTATGAATGCGGTGCTGGCGACGATGAGGACGACGACGGCGATGTTGAGTTTGGTGTCGCTGTTGGTTGCCATCAGCGGCATGCTCACTACCAACGGTGATGGTATTTTGGGCAGCGTGATGGCGGTGATGACGGTGGTAATTATTTCGATGCCGTTGAAGAGATTGAGGTGCGTGAAAATTTCTATCACCGACGCCGTCATGAAAAACGCCACCGACATCATTATCACGAACGCCGTCACCGCCGCCCTTCCGTGCGCGTGCCGTGCGTCCCCGTCGCTCCAGCAGCTTGAGCAGAGACGTCCCATTGAGACGCGGGTCCACGGGCAGCCCCGCTATATCCATCATGGTCGGGTAGATGTCCACGAGGGACACCAACGTCTGCTCGAGGACTGACCTCGTCGTCCACTCACCACCGCCACGACTGCCAGCAACACCAACACCAGCACCACCAACACCAGCACCACCACCAACACCACCAACACCAGCACCACCACCACCAGCACCACCACCAGCACCACCAACACCAGCACCACCAACACCAGCACCACCAACACCAGCACCACCACCACCAACACCACCAACACCAGCACCACCACCACCAGCACCACCAACACCAGCACCACCAACACCAGCACCACCAACACCAGCACCACCAACACCAGCACCACCAACACCAACACCACCAACACCAGCACCACCAACACCAGCACCACCAGCACCACCAACACCAGCACCACCAACACCAGCACCACCAACATCAGCACCACCAACACCAACACCACCAACACCAGCACCACCAACACCAACACCACCAACACCAGCACCACCAACACCAGCACCACCACCACCAACACCACCAACACCAGCACCACCAACACCAGCACCACCAACACCAGCACCACCATGACCACCACCAGCAGCACCTTGACCACCAGCATAGCTGCAAGTGCCACCTCGACCACCACCGGTACTTTCGCCACCATCACGACCACCACGACCACCACCTTTACTGCCACCGCCACCGCCACGATCGCCACTACTGCCACCAGCACTACCGCTAAAACCACTGCCGCCATCACCACCACCATGCTCACCATCACCGTCATTGCCACCACCACCAGCAACACTACCGTCACCACAACCACCGCGACCACCACGATCGCCACCACGGTGCTGCGTCCGCGGCCGCACCCTGGGCCCGGCGATGACGAGCGGCACGCGCGCGCTGCCCTCGTACATGCTCATCTTGTAGTACTGCCGGTGCTCCAGCGCCAGCTCGCCGTGGTCGCACGTGAACGCCACGTAGGTGTCGCCGCGCAGGTGGAAGCCCGCGGCGCCCAGCGCGCGTACCACCGCACCCAGCATGGCGTCCGTCTCGGCGCACATGGCGTAGTAGGCGGCGCGCACCGCGATGACCTCGTCGTCGGCGAAGGGGCCCGAGCAGTTCTTGACGAAGGTGGCGTACGCGTCGGAGGGGTGGGTCTCGTCGGGTGGCAGCCAGCGCGGCACCACGACGGCGCCGCGGCGCACGCGGCGCAGCCAGAATGGCGACGTGCGGAAGGTGGAGGCGCCGGCGTTGGGGCCGGCGGACGGGGTCTTGTACGGGTGCGGCAGGTTGAGGCCCAGGTAGAGCGCGAAGGGAGCTGCGGAGGTGGAGGAGGAGGGAGTGGTGGAGGGGATGGAGGAGGGAGGGGGTTGGAGGAGGAGGTGGGGGTGGTGGAGGGGATGGAGGAGGAGGAGGAGGCGGGGGAAATGTCACCGGTTTCCAAAATGTTACGAGTTTGGAAATGTTGGTGGACTATATGTAACCAGCATACAATATACAAATATGGTACGGTCTAAATTGGAGTACAATAAATAAATGGCGTGTAGTGTACAATTCGCGTACTATGTACCATAAGTGTAAAATGTATTACCAGTGTACATTGTTCAAATATAGCATACGATGTATAATCAGTGCACAATTATCCAACAGCGTACAAAGTGCGATTAGTGCAGAATGTGCGCCCAATTACTGTTGTGCAACGTGTTCTCTGCATCGTTGTGTCGAATAATGACCACGTTCTTAAGATTTCCACCCCAATGCCACGCATTTAAACAATACATTTTGCTCAACCCCAACTCACATTATAGCCACGTCTTTATTTAATCCGTTCCCCAGCCCTCCCCATCATCTCCCCCCCGGGACAACCGAGAGAGTTGATGACTGTCCAAGGGTGGCACAGTCGGGTTTTTTACAATCGGGTTTAATTGTCTTTTCATATTAAACCCGATCATCTGAGATTGGGAGAAATCCGGTTTAATTGGTTCTAATTGCAGAACCGCACTTCGCCAACTTCTCAACGATGGGCTTCGTCCATTCCAAGCTAAGGAACTCACTGGCGCCCACGATTGTGGAGGAGAAGCTCGTGTTCATCAAGACCAACCTGCCCGCCGCATTCTACGACTACCCCGTGTCCGACGGCCCCGAGTACGATAGCAGCACCGACGAGGAAGCAGCCTAAGCCTTGGATCAGAGTTTCGTATACATTAAACCAGGTCTTAATTCCCCGAAATCGGGTTTAATTGTAATAAAGAAAATACCCGATGCCTGCCGCTGGAAAAATCGGGTTTTTTCCACCCGTGCGACTGTCACCGTCACCATCGTTAATTCTCGGCCAGCGCCGTCTCCAGCTGGATGCCCGAGGTGGTTCCCCACCGCCCGCCACGCGGGGGCTGGCGCCCACCTTTCCCGGGCGCCACGTCGCGGATCCAGCGGACCGCGCGGTCCGTGTTGTTCCAGTCGCGGAGCTGCACCCTCCGCGTGCGCTCGCCCCCCACGAGCTGCGCGCGGGGCCTCGGCTCCTGGCGCAGCAGCAGCCCCGGCACGCCGCGCGTCCACGCCTCCACGCGGTTGCTCAGCGAGTGTCCGCCCGACGTGAAGTCCGTCTTGCCGAACACGGCCGTGGTGTAGCCGGCCTCGGCACGCAGGCGGTCGAGCCACGTCGGGTAGCCTGGCGCGGGTCAGGGGTCACCGCCGCGACATCGTTTACCGTGACACGACAGCAAGGTGCAAGATACGGTGTTGACGTTGGGTTTCGCGATACGGTGTGCGCATCGCGTTGCTCCTGTCACCCTGCACTGCAGGTCGTGGTGGAGCTCTGCAGCAGCAGCTGCAGCTGTACGACTTGCAAGAGCCGCTCACTCCACCACTCACTCGCTCCACCACTCGCACCACCACTCACTCTCTAACGCTCGCTCGCTCCACCACTCACTCGCACCATCATTCGCACCAACACGCACTCTCTCCACCGCTCGCTCCACCACTCACTCACTCCCCTGTCCACTCTCTCCACCGGTCGCTCCACCACTCGCTCGCTCGACCGCTCGCTCCACCGCTGAGCCACGTGGCCGCTTCGCGTTGACGGCCAACGACGCGACATCCCCCCCACCCCCATGCACCTGGCGGCAGACACTTGTGGTTGTTCCACGCGGCGGTGACGTGGGTGTGAAGTCCGCTCCAGAGGGCGGCGCGGGACGGGCAACACACGGGCGAGTTGGTGTACGCCGTGGCGAAGGCCGCCCCGGCCGCCGCCAGGCGCGCAATCCACGGCAGCGGCACCGGCGACCGCGGCGCCGTCACGAGCCGCCCGTCCATAGAGTCGCAGACGACGAGCACAATGTTGGGCCGAGCTGGGGTGGAGGGAGACGAGGAGGAGGAGGAGGAGTTGGACGGAGACGAAGACGATGATGGCGCCGGACGAGACGCCAGCACCAGCGTGAGCGCGAGCGTGGCAGCAGCGCCGGCCGCTGTGAACATCGCTGGGCTGCACGGCTGCAATCGAGAGAGGATTGGTGGGCAGCGTCGAGTGACCGGGTGAGGTTTCCACCGATGGATGATCCTCACGCCGGGTGCTTCAACATGCTCGAGAGGAGGTCGCTGATTTCGGATCAACTCGAATGCGTAGAAGAGAAGCAATGTTGTTAAATGGATGTCACCACGTAAACCAGGGGTGGGGAACGTCCGGCCCGCGGGCCTCATGAGACCCACGAAATCATTTGGTGTGGCCCTGCCAAGGCAACCGCAGGCGGGACTCGAAATTCAATAAATCTCGGAGCAAACCTGGAAAATCAGTTGCGAGTAGCAACAACATCATAAATACCAGCTAACATCACACGCCTCGCCAATGAGAAGCAGTTCCAGCCATCGCATTAGGAGTGAGTTAATTAAATGTTTGACCAAATATAACAGGCTAATTTTTAAGTTGATAATTTTGTATGGCCCGCGAATTATGTTATAAATATCCAAATGGCCCTTGGTGGAAAAAAGGTTCCCCACCCCTGACTTAAAATAATGCATTGAGTAGTTTAACAACTTATTGGGTGATCCTGCTGTTGCGTTGGCAGTGATACACAAGCACAAACTCTCAACACATTCCTTCATAACACCGTGGCCTTAAGCCAACAAATATATAATCATCGACGTTTCTAGTATTGGCCCTTCTTTATGTGCCTTTATATATTAACTGGCATAACGACGGATCGCACATTAATAGTTGCAGGGGACACCCCTACGAACAGGACAAATTGTCCTGGAGCCGCAAAGGGCTCGTTGGGCAAGAGGAGCGATCAACGGAGATGCGCAAAAGTGAAGCTTGAAAACACGTGATTCTGTGAGAGAAACAAAAAATAGGTTGGGAAAACAAAAATGAGACTGAAAGAATCGGGGGACACAAACACAAGCTGCGATCGACGATGTCGTCGCAAGCAGTGGGCGCGTGGAACCAGCGGCAAACATAAATAAATCGGCGTAGTGTAGATTGGCAACTCACAAAATGTCAGCCTTTTAAGAGGAACATGGAACCATAATGCATATATAATAACATTGGTGGAGGATTTTTCTGCGGATCTCAAACTGTGTTGCCGACGAAGAGGAGGTCGTTTCAGATGTCACACCTGAAGGAGGAGGAGGATCAATTGTCCTTCACAGGGTGTGAACATGGGGAAAGCTTCTGGGACACGTGGGGCGTACAACAACTGCAGATATCATCAAAACGGAGTGGGACCCGATCTGCAAATGTTTGCAACATACCTGGAGGCCCAAGTCACCCACGTGTTTACACGGGAACTAAAAACCCGCATTCATGGAATGATGGCTGCATCGGCTATACTTCTTATGGCCACGGAGGTAGTTCACACTTGAATTAGAGACTCGTTCGCATCTTCTCCCTGTGTGTAACCACGAATGTTTCAGGAAGGTAACTGGGATCAGAAATAATGGTAACATTCAGAGGCCGACCCAACACGTTATAGGCAAGAGCTACATTGTAGAGGATATTTGGCCTACTCTTCCTCGCTGGGCCAGACATCGTATCTGGGAAGACACACTTTACTCCACCAACACGCACGAGACACCTGCCGATCGACTCACTGTGGTGTGCCCATTTATATACTGCCGGGTGGACAGAGGCGGGAAGAGGGAAAAAACAAACTTGACCCTCGTTCTAACTTAAGGTGTTTTCTTGTTCATGTTTTTTGCGGTTGCGGTTGCACCCGATTCAAGAGCCGAATGGCTCACAGGGCTATACCTAATACATGAAAATTAACCCGTAAAAAAAAAAAGTTTTTCACTATAAATCCTTTATATGCGTGGCGGCTAGAGTCCTCTCGTCCTCTGGCTTGAGATGGCTGCCGCCTATGGGTCAGATGATTGCCTGCCACCATTAAGCAATTGGTAATTAAATATAATTTTTTTTTCCTAAAAAGTGTAAAAAAATTTAAAAAAATTTCACGAAAATAAATTGTCACGCACGAGTCTGTGTGCAAAATGTCAGCTCGATTGGATCACGGGAAGTGGGTTAAAAACGACCGAAAGATTTGCACGGTCGTAAGCGCGCAAGCAAGCAAGTGAACTTAATATAAAGGATTTAAAAACTGAAACTGTGGCGCCAAGAGATCGAATGGGCAAATGCTAAAACCGTTCCAGCACGCACAGCTCTGCGTTGATGCAAACATGCACGTGCGGTGCGTGGTCATTTTAATGAAAACCCCGTACGCGAAACTAGAGAAGACAACGATATACCCACGCCTGGGAAAGTCGCCTGAACGGACTATTGGGGCAAGTGCACACAGCACAAGGGTGGCACAGTCGGGTTTTTTTACAATCGGGTTAAATTGTCTTTTTATATTAAACCCGATCGTCTGAGATTGGGAGAAATCCGGTTTAACTGGTTCTAATTGCAGAACCGCACTTCGCCAACTTCTCAACGATGAGCTTCATCCATTTCAAGCTTAGGAACTCACTGGCGCCCACGATTGTGGAGGAGAAGCTCGTGTTCATCAAGACCAACCTGCCCGCCGCATTCTACGACTACACCGTGCCCGACGCCCCCCCCCCCCCCCCCGAGTACGATAGCAGCATGGAGGAGGAAGCAGCCTAAGCCTTGGATCAGAGTTTCGTATTCATTAAACCAGGTTTCAATTCCCCGAAATCGGGTTTAATTATATTAAAGAAAAAACCCGATGCCTGCCGCTGGAAAAATCGGGGGTTTTCCACCCATGACACAGCATTCTCACGCTCTCACGAATGCGTTGCGTGCATTCAATAGCCGTCGATGTCCACCAGGCGGCAGGGACGTCACCACGATGCTCGTGCCAGGAGAGGTGCACCTTGAGGCGTTGTTTGCATGCACAGGTATGTGCACAAAGACAAACATCCCCCGTGTAGCCTTCAGAGACCGTTGGGGCAAGTGCGTTAGCGAGTTGCACCTATAAAGACCGGCACGGCGCACGAGGGGGTGGGTGGCCAGCACCACGCCCGGCCGCCTTTGTCTCCCCAGTGGTGATTTACACACCGCACCAGGTACTCATTTGAGGCTGAGTCGACCTAGGGGAAGGCCCAGGGCCAGTTCAGATACATACACGCATATATGACGAATACGTACACATGCAGAAGCACGTACAAAGCACAGTGTGCACAGAGACAGAGGCGTGCTGGGAATGAAGTGCCATGAGCGAGCACCTGTGAAAGCCAAGACTGCTCACGACAGCGTGGTGGCGTGTGGGCCAGGACCACGCCCGGCCGCCTTTGTCTTCCCAGTGCCGATGAGTTGACCACGAAGCGAACGACCAGCACATGCGCATATATGGGACAGGCACATAACCACAAATATGTGGTTTAAAAAAAACACATACAGTACGGTACAGATATATAATGAATAACTTTTATACAAACGTTTGAACACCAGACATTCGGGAACGACAGCTTGGCATTCGCCAAAGCGCATGTGCCAGGCTAGGTGCACAATTCGAGTGCCACGTGAAGTGTGAAAGGCTCGTTGGCATGAGCATTTATGCAAACAAACATAATGATCCCCCGTGTAGCCTATACAGACTTTAGGGGCAAGTGCTGTTAGCGAGCACATATCAAGGTCGGCACTGTGGAACACGAGGTGGTGGGTGGTCAGTGCCACGCCCGGCCGCCTTTGTCTCCCCAGTGGCGATGTTTACACATTTGAGGCCGAGTCGACCTAAGGGAGGGCCCAGCACCGGTTCAGATATAATCGTCACTGATGTCGATGGCCGTGAGCCAGGTTCGTAGCGCTACATTACCGCTCCCCACAACACGTAAACTATTGTGTGTGTGTGTAAATGTGTGTGTGTAAATGTGTGTGGATGTGTAAATGTGTGTGTAAATGTGTGTGTGTGTAAATGTGTGTATGCGGGCGTGGTGCTGGCCACCCACCCTCTCGTATGCCGTGCCGGCCTTTGACAGCACTTGCCCCAACAGCCTGTTAAGGTTCATACGGGGGATATGTGTCTTTGTGTGTGTGTATGTGTGTGTGTATGTGTGTGTAAATGTGTTTAAAGTTTAGAGATGTGAGAGAGAGTGCACGCGTATCTCGCGCTCTCACCGCGAACAGAGTGCAGCTTTCTTCTCGAGATCAAATCTCTCTCCCTCCCTCTCCTCTCGCTCTCCTCTCGCTCTCAGATACACAGAGATACACACACGGGCTGGTGCGTCACAACCACACAGACACACACAAATACAAAGATCCCCCGTAAAGCCTGAACAGACTGATGGGGCAAGTGCTGTGAGCGAGCAGCACTGTGGCACACGAGGGGGCGGGTGGCCAGCAACCACGCCCGGCCGCCTTCGTCTCTCTTTGTTGCGATGTTTACACACCGCACCGGGTACTCATTTGAGGCTGAGTCGGCCTAGGGGAGGCCCAGGACCCGTTCAGATAATCGTCACTGGTGTCGGCTGTTGTATCCTAACCCTTCTTCCATAATTGAGAGTAATAATATTTGATGATTTTTATATATTATCTTTTTATTTTTTTTAATGAGTGAAACACACCAAAGCGCACCAAACTGCAAAACACCAGGTGTTGTTAAGTAATGAACGAGAGGAGGGCTAGGATGACAGAATTGCAACCTTGCTTCAAGGCAAAGGCAGTGAAAGGAAGTAGAGGCGCCTTTGTCTAAGTCATAACCACAGAAAGCCAGGAATCATCACTGATTGTGTGTTAGGGATTCCGAGCTAATTAGAACACGTGCACACAGAAAGGGAGGTAGAAGCACGCCTTGTTCTCCTGCAGCTGAGGAAACAAAGATAAACCCAAAAGGGCCTTGAGTTAACGTCAGCTGGACTGCAACAACCACGGCGAGCAGAGATAGGGTGGGGCAAAGACTGCGGGCTATGAATGCAACTTCGTGTCAGTAAAGCCCTGACAAACAAGTTAAGTTAAAGACATCACAATACATAATATCGCATATAACATCAATGTTAACGCTATTCACCGTAAACTATATTCCGCTTATATAACCATGCAGGCACCAAGGAATACGAATTCCTAGGATCAAGAAACTTACCCCTTAACCTAAGATATCGGAAATAAATTAATAGTAATAAGTATATGCATGAAAAGACAAAGTAAAACTTATGGAAACGCCAGGATAACGGGATGAATCACCACCAGGTCGAATATGAATACATAATAAAAAAAAAACGATGTTAAACCCAGGGTCGGAGAGAAAGGGAGATCCCGGCCGTCTTTGTATCCCCGCAGCGCGGGATAGGAGTGTGTATACGCTCGGGGAAACACCCCCACTTGAGTCAAGCACCACGATGGGAAACGACAGACCTTAGGTTACATACAGAATCATAACTGTGAAATAGTAAGGGACAAATGTTAACTTAAAACTTTTAACCATTTCTTTGTGCGCCGGGTCGGAGAGAGCGTTGCCCCTCCCTCCAGGTGGTGCGAACAAAGACGCCTATGAGACATTTGTGACGTCTGTGTTTTGGGTTCATGGGGAAGGCCAGACAGGAGATAATGTTGCGCCCAGACAGAGAGACGACCTCGAGGCAATTTGTAACATCTGATTGTTTGCTCGTGGGTTCATGGAGGGAGTGGGACAACGGAATACCGTGAGTAATGCACACAAGGACATACGGACGTACGGACACACACATGGACACACCTGCCTACGGACAGATCCTGACACAGCAAAAATCGGAAAGAAGCCCCGCCTTGTGGGCGGGATCCAGGGGGATTTTTCGGCATAAAGTAAAGGATCCTGAGCATTGGAAATCAGTGCGACGAGAGGGTCCACTCAGGAGCGCGACCGGGAGAGTCGGCTCAGGAGGAGTGCGACCAGTGGGTCCACTCAGGAGTGCGACCAGCGGGTCCACTCAGGAGTGCGACCAGAGGGTCGACTCAGGAGCGAGGGCGACCAGCGGGTCGACCCAGGAGCGAGCTCGACCGGGAGGGTCGACTCAGGAGCGAGCTGCGACCAGCGGGTCGGCTCGACTCATCTTCAGCTCGTCAACCTCTGCCGAACCGGGGGTCTCTGCTGCCACCGGAGTGGTGAGCATCGCGATTCGGCGACAACCCAGAGCTGCACGCTGCGAGCGAGTTGTGGGCGCCACCTACCGACCGGGTTCCGAACTGCGACAGCGTATCAACAGCCATCCGAACCAATTCGCCACGGGATCGACTGATACGTATGACGCGCACCGCCCCCTCACCACACGACCACCAGGCGTCTGTTTGACCTAAAGAATCGACTCCGAACACTGACTATTCAAGACAACTCTTACCACTCAAAAACACTCGAACCCATAAGCCATCCGTGGCTGGAAAGCATCACAACGAGACCGAGTGATGGCCCTCCGTCGTTTATAAGAGTATTCTTAATTTTTATCTTTAATATTTAGTGGGCTGTACTCTTAATCGCATAAATTCCCAACAGATCCATCAATACGAACTGATTCTTGGCACCTCCTTCCGCCGAGCCACGCTCACGTGGGGAGTGGTGGCCCACCGGATCCTTATCAGGTGATCTGGTCCCCAATTAGTAAACTTGGTATAAGATAACGAGCTTCGGAAAAGGAGCACCGTCGCAGGCCCTTACTCCGAGCCGTTCTGTTGTCAGATAACCTGCCGATGTATCTGTTGAGATTGGTGCCTTTAAGAATAATAACTGTTTTTGATTGTGTTTTTTTTTTATCGCCGTATAATCTTTCAAGTATCTTTCAGTCATAATCGCCGCACGTACTCGCATCCTCTACAGAATATTCAACTGTCCCGTGACCCAAGGTGTTAACAACGTGATAAGGGTTGCGTATGGTCAATAAGGAGTGTGGTACTGTATGAACAATATTGAGTATAATCATTCATTAACATTAAGGTTTTCTTAGCATAGTATTTGCATATTTCAACGACTCTCTCTCTCTCACTAACAACCATCGCGTTATGAACAATATTGAGTATAATCATTCATTAACATTAAGGTTTTCTTAGCATAGTATTTGCGTGTTTTAACGACTCTCTCTCTCACTAACAACCATCGCGTTATGCGGGATCCATGTGCAGTTGTCAAAGTGAAATCAGACAATCGTTGATGATACTGTATTGATGCCGTGTTGACGTTCCGGGATTGAGAGTTCGCATATTATATCATAGTTAAGGTTGAATTAGTAATAAATTGATCAATACAGAAGTGGTTGTGTGATTCTTTCCTGAAATCTATGCATAAGATCTGCTTCTGCGTTGAGATTTGAACTTGGTGACCTTAATAAACACACTAATACATACTCAGTAAATGTTAAAGCGATAACGGGGTGAACCGGGGACCTAAAAATATAACCACGAATAAAAACTCTGGGAATGTTAAAGCGAGAATGAGACGAACCTAGACAACGATGCCGAGTTAATCTAAGTTAATCTTGCATACTTACACCACACCTGCATAACTGCATACGATTAATTGCCTTATTCCGATCGATAACCCACCCTCGTCACCGAGGCGGGGTCTGGTTATCATAACGACTTGTATTATCATAATTACACCCACTCGCATAATTAATCCGATTACCTCTCGAATTGGCATAATTAAAATGTGCGTAATTACATAAATTAACATATTTCCGGATAATTACACATTTGGCCAGATTTCATTTAATAATTATTATTTTCACTGAATATTCATAACACACAGGTACAACATAATAATTTCACCCACGCACGCATACAACATAACAAATTTTCTTAACCCAACATATACAACATAATGGGGGCTCGTCTTCCGGGATCTCTCGCAGACAGTTATGCATGAATTCAGGAACGAATCACTGATGTGTTAATCAAAGTGTTGTGAACTAACGTTGCCTTGTGATTGTAAACGGGGGTATACAAACAAAACGCGCTCTGAAGGGAAATACCAGAGTAGCAGAGTATAACAAAGACAGCTGGGCTGAGATTATTTGCTCGAGTTGAACTGACGCATCCTGTGATACAATTGTTTATATGCACTCTGAAAAGAAATATTAAGGTAACTCTTGCCATACTAAGATGCTAGGATTAAGAATAATATTTGAATGGGTTACGGGATACGGGGAGGTCGTATTTAAACGTACCGACCAATCTGTTACAAAGCAGTACAGTCAGAGAGACATATGGGAAGGGAGCTGTATCGATAACACGAACACACCTCGGGGGAAACTAATTGACTGGATAAAAAGTAACGAAGGCAAACACGATGCAAAAACTGCAGAGAAGGCAGGACAGGACTCATACCTTCTCACACAGGCGTACAGACAGGGATTGTGGAATGAGGGAAAATTTGGAAAGGAAACGGGAGAGAAATCGTCTCTAATAAACGACGAGAAATGTCCTCACACCCTCGAGAGGGAGGAGAAATCAAAGCTCGCGACACCAGCGAAACTCACAGACGTTGAGCCACAGAATAAATATGGAAGTAACATCAAATCACTCTCTTGGGTACGTGGACAGAGTCCAGGGATTGATCGCACAAAAGTTAAAGTAAAATCGCCAGGACATGGTACACTAAGGGCAGAGGCAAAAACTGAAGGGAAATGGCAACACGAGCGACACGGCCCTGGGCGCGCACACAGAAAATGCACACCACTTAAACACAGGAGACACAGCACAGACCAAAGTGACAGATTGCCTGATGATAACTTGTTTGATGATGACGCTGTCAGCAATCAACTTTCGGAATACCTGTTCACCAGTAAAACCCTTAAGTTGATGGACAAGGCTCTAGTCAGAATTCCCGATTTTGACCCCCACAATAAGACTATGGATATCCACACACATATCGCGACAGTGGAAGAGGAGGCAATGATTAGAGGGCTGAGGAGACGGGATGAAAAAGCGAGTTTGTTGAAACGGACCTTACATAAAGAATCTATTCCATGGGTAAAGTCACTACCACACAAGGTTAGAAATGATTTTAAACAATTGAGCCTGGCAGTGATTCGGAAGTTTGGAGAATATTCGACACTCACTGAGGGGTTTTATGCTGTAAAATCGATGACCCAGGGCATGGACCAAGATCCACGTGACTACCTCGTCCAATTTAAAAGAGCGTATTACGCAGGCGATGTGAATCAATACCACGAAGGGGATAAAATGTTCAAAATTATGTTTTTTGAATCCTTGAGCCCAGAGATTACAGAAAGGGTGAGAATGGTTTTGAATCCAGAAACCGCATCCTTACGCCGCATAGAGAGCAAGGCGTACATGGCATGGTTATACAGAGCTAAGAATCATAATTCGGATCCAGAACACAGGGAGAGGGATGAGGAACCCAGCCTCTCAGAGAGGAATAAAAATCACCGAGCAGTCCCACCATGCAGAGAGCAGCAGAAACGCACGCACACATGGCAAAATAACCCAGAGAGAGGTTGGCACGAGAATGAGAGCGGCACAAAGCCGAACATTCAGGAGAATCGCAGGAGGGGGAGGTTCAGAATAGAACCATACCAACACCCCATGCCCCGACATGCGCAAGGTCAAGATTACCCACAGGGATGGCGAAGTAACAATCCAGGAAAAATTTGGCACCCAAATGGGAAAAACACTGGGCCAAGGGTGCAGGAGAATCGTAGGAGGGAGAGGTTCAGAGCAGAACCATATCAACACCCCATCCCACGACACACGCAAGGTTCAAATTACGCACAGAGATGGGAAGATAACCACCTAGCGGGAAGGTGTTACACATACCGCGGAGGTATGGATGCGAACATTCACGAGAATCGCAGGATGGGAGGTCAAACACAATCGATCCAATTCCGACCAATTCCTCCACCGGCTATACCAGGAGGGAATAGAGGAATAACACAGAATACGGTCCAAATACGTGATGAACCATCCACAGTGATTGAGAGCGGGCAGCCCATACGCGCCACACCCGCCGAGGTGTTAAACCCGGCGCTCAATGTGAAATACAGGCAGGCTGCAAGTGACAGGGCGGGCAAGAACGTGGACAGTGCTCCCGTAAATGACGCGCGGATCGAATACAAGGACAGGGTTGCATTGAAGCGTGATCGGACAGTACAAAAACAGACAGCAGGGACACGCCCTGAGGAGCGCAGGCATGAGCCTTTGAATGGAAAATATCCAAGGGAAACCAAAAATTATGTGGATCGGAGTGCTAAAATGGAGACGAATGTCCATGACGTACCGGGAATGGTGTTGAAATCCAACACACTAGTAAAAACAAAGAGGGCAACATTACGAGGGACAGAATTAAATCGACACACTGACTCGGCAAATGTGCATGTAATCGCAGAGAGAGCGAATGCCTCGAACCAAGTGTCAAAGTGGGTCGTGTGCGCGAATTCTGGTTATGTGCAGCACAATTTTTCACCACACACTCCCACGACACAGAGAGTCAGAGAGGAAACTACAAAAACGAACCCGAAAACCGTGATCGAATTATCGAAGTGATAAGTGGTGAACGAGGCAACATGAGGAAGGTAACGCATAAATGCGTTCGAAACCGCTACCTAGCGTTTCCCAGGATTTAACAAAAACAAAAATGAATATTCGTCGGAGTCATGATGTATCAGAACCGATGTAACGCAATATCGATGTTTAACGCTTGTTTAATTTTCTTTGCTCAATTCAAATATAACCATGTTAAGTTGTGACACGTACGCACGCGTTGTAAGGAATAGCAGCAAAACTTGAGGACAATCGATGGTTCATGATGGAAGAAGGGTATACATATTTTTTTTAAAAATAACCCGTGGCCATTTGACCACTGGTCATTTTTAAAAGGGCGGAATGTTGTATCCTAACCCTTCTTCCATAATTGAGAGTAATAATATTTGATGATTTTTATATATTATCTTTTTATTTTTTTTAATGAGTGAAACACACCAAAGCGCACCAAACTGCAAAACACCAGGTGTTGTTAAGTAATGAACGAGAGGAGGGCTAGGATGACAGAATTGCAACCTTGCTTCAAGGCAAAGGCAGTGAAAGGAAGTAGAGGCGCCTTTGTCTAAGTCATAACCACAGAAAGCCAGGAATCATCACTGATTGTGTGTTAGGGATTCCGAGCTAATTAGAACACGTGCACACAGAAAGGGAGGTAGAAGCACGCCTTGTTCTCCTGCAGCTGAGGAAACAAAGATAAACCCAAAAGGGCCTTGAGTTAACGTCAGCTGGACTGCAACAACCACGGCGAGCAGAGATAGGGTGGGGCAAAGACTGCGGGCTATGAATGCAACTTCGTGTCAGTAAAGCCCTGACAAACAAGTTAAGTTAAAGACATCACAATACATAATATCGCATATAACATCAATGTTAACGCTATTCACCGTAAACTATATTCCGCTTATATAACCATGCAGGCACCAAGGAATACGAATTCCTAGGATCAAGAAACTTACCCCTTAACCTAAGATATCGGAAATAAATTAATAGTAATAAGTATATGCATGAAAAGACAAAGTAAAACTTATGGAAACGCCAGGATAACGGGATGAATCACCACCAGGTCGAATATGAATACATAATAAAAAAAAAACGATGTTAAACCCAGGGTCGGAGAGAAAGGGAGATCCCGGCCGTCTTTGTATCCCCGCAGCGCGGGATAGGAGTGTGTATACGCTCGGGGAAACACCCCCACTTGAGTCAAGCACCACGATGGGAAACGACAGACCTTAGGTTACATACAGAATCATAACTGTGAAATAGTAAGGGACAAATGTTAACTTAAAACTTTTAACCATTTCTTTGTGCGCCGGGTCGGAGAGAGCGTTGCCCCTCCCTCCAGGTGGTGCGAACAAAGACGCCTATGAGACATTTGTGACGTCTGTGTTTTGGGTTCATGGGGAAGGCCAGACAGGAGATAATGTTGCGCCCAGACAGAGAGACGACCTCGAGGCAATTTGTAACATCTGATTGTTTGCTCGTGGGTTCATGGAGGGAGTGGGACAACGGAATACCGTGAGTAATGCACACAAGGACATACGGACGTACGGACACACACATGGACACACCTGCCTACGGACAGATCCTGACACAGCAAAAATCGGAAAGAAGCCCCGCCTTGTGGGCGGGATCCAGGGGGATTTTTCGGCATAAAGTAAAGGATCCTGAGCATTGGAAATCAGTGCGACGAGAGGGTCCACTCAGGAGCGCGACCGGGAGAGTCGGCTCAGGAGGAGTGCGACCAGTGGGTCCACTCAGGAGTGCGACCAGCGGGTCCACTCAGGAGTGCGACCAGAGGGTCGACTCAGGAGCGAGGGCGACCAGCGGGTCGACCCAGGAGCGAGCTCGACCGGGAGGGTCGACTCAGGAGCGAGCTGCGACCAGCGGGTCGGCTCGACTCATCTTCAGCTCGTCAACCTCTGCCGAACCGGGGGTCTCTGCTGCCACCGGAGTGGTGAGCATCGCGATTCGGCGACAACCCAGAGCTGCACGCTGCGAGCGAGTTGTGGGCGCCACCTACCGACCGGGTTCCGAACTGCGACAGCGTATCAACAGCCATCCGAACCAATTCGCCACGGGATCGACTGATACGTATGACGCGCACCGCCCCCTCACCACACGACCACCAGGCGTCTGTTTGACCTAAAGAATCGACTCTGAACACTGACTATTCAAGACAACTCTTACCACTCAAAAACACTCGAACCCATAAGCCATCCGTGGCTGGAAAGCATCACAACGAGACCGAGTGATGGCCCTCCGTCGTTTATAAGAGTATTCTTAATTTTTATCTTTAATATTTAGTGGGCTGT